CCAAGCCATTCCACTCTATGTTGTACCGAAAGGTTTCACACTTGAAGCATGCACTATCTTTCCAAAAGTGAAGCCCCACCTATGAGCATGGTCATCGCTTGTCGATGAGAGCCTGAACCTACCCCGGTCGTGGAGGGTACCCGCATGTCCACAAGTTTTCTTTCGTGTTCTGACAATATCCACCTTACTGCAGGGCAGGTCAAAAGTATTGTTAGAGTTGGACCAGTCTCCCACATCAAATGGTAGCATTTAACCACGTCCCATTACGACGCAGTAAGCCCCCGTCGTGCTGCCATCTTTCCATTACTCATGCTCCAGACAGTGGGCAGGTCTGTGCCTGATGCCTGGCGCTCACATGCTTACTAAGGTCTCCTGTGGAATTATACTATTAATCATCATTTGGTGTGTGAGTCTTAAATTTTGGCAATCGGGTCTCGGTGTCCCGCGTTTGTCTTTTCGTCCAGTCTTAGCGTCGAGAGTCTTTTTCCTCGACTAGCACCGGTCTAAACACGAGCACTAACACGGATCCCTGTAACGCGACCTCATTCTCGTACTGTTTTCAGTTTTAGCTCAGGCTCAAGACCTTTTGTGCTAGTGTAGACCGAGACAAAGCAGAGAGAGGGGACAGACTGGCATGAATCTGGAATGCATATGAATCATGGCGCATTTAGANCATTCTCGTACTGTTTTCAGTTTTAGCTCAGGCTCAAGACCTTTTGTGCTAGTGTAGACCGAGACAAAGCAGAGAGAGGGGACAGACTGGCATGAATCTGGAATGCATATGAATCATGGCGCATTTATACCTACGTCTAACCTTCACGTCAAGACAATATATGAATATACCACGTATGCTTCGAAAACCGTCTTCCAACGTTTCAAGGCTGTTTTTCTCTAACAATCAATGGATCTCAAGATGGACAAAACTATGCTTTTTTAAATGCAGAGGGTGATGATTTAATGATGAGAAAAGTTACCATGCTATGCGATGGAGCAAGGAATGAGTTGGAATTGGAAGAGCATAGCGGCCGTTTCTTCCCGTCTTCATAGTTCTAGCTCCATGCGTAAAATTCCATAAATATGTCTTAGCGGGGTACGACCGTGTCCCAATAGAGATGTATTTCAAAGGAACACCACTTCACTATAGCTCGATAGTAGATCATACAGGTATACAGTATTTTGTTGAAGGTTGGAGGAATGCATAACAGCTGACTGAAAAAATGAGTATGGAAATGAACTTCGGAATGAAAATGCAGCCCAGATACTGCCAGGACCGTTGATAGGGCAACTGGGAATAACGTCAGCTCAAGCACATGGATTCTGTGTTTCATCTTTGTGTGGGCAATTGAGAGCGAGAGTATTCCCTTGCTCTCGATTCCTCAACCAGAGCAATTTCCTTGGTCTGGTTTAGCCAGACAGTGCGGAAATGGTTCACACTGCGCACGTTATACACAAAGTAATGCGTAGTTGTGCGTTTGGGGACATGACACAGCGCACAGAAATGGTGTCACCCCATTTGCAAGGACGATCGTCTGCGTCATCGACCGCGACTCTGCCTCAGCAACCTACTGACTACGTTCCCAACTAAATGTGACCCTCATCGCTCTGCAAATGGGACCTGTGATAGGAAAACAGGGCAGGTCATGATATAACTCAATATGACTTGGACTATAGGCTCACGGTTAATATTTGAACAAAATGCGTGCATAAAGCATCTCCTAAAAAAGAAAAAACACCCGAAGCAAATTATGTGACGAGTTCATGGAGTAGGTCGTATTGCGTTTGCGAAATGATGCATGCATGAAGGACGCATGTACGAAAGAGATAGCCGCTGGCTCGTGAGAGGAATCTCATTTCTGCCATAAGAATGAGAGCAAGTTTTGTCGCCGAGAAATATTGAGGAAAAAAAAAAGGATCAATGGCATTCCGATCGCCGAGGTCACCCGATCCCACTGTGTCTGCGTACTTTTCAGCACTACTGAGTACGATACCTCTTTAATAACTGGGACACTTCGGTCGCTTGCACCAATGCTGCATTCCGTTCTTCACCATACGATTTGATGTAGGATAGAGCCTTGAACAGGAGACCTCCATCTGACTGGCTGGTGTCAGGTAGAACATTACGGCGGGGATTTCACGTTTCAAAGTCAAAACTGGCTAAATGTTCGCGATATTAGGGCCTATATAGCTTTCCTCTTGAAATTTTCACAAGTTAAATTTTCGCCGTCATCTCCTACCAGTCACCTACACCACAAGGAGGAGCGTTGTTGTTTATCTCTTGGGATTGGTAAAAAAAAAAACCAAGATGATGACGTGTATGGAATTGCTTTCACACCGACACCGAACTGGGATCGAGAAGGCATTTCGTCTTTATCCAGGCGTTACACAGACCCGAAATCCAGGAAATGACAGCGTCATACCGACACTATAGGCGGAGTTGAGATTAGGTGTTGAAGTGTGTTACACGGAAAACCAAGACCGTATTTGAAGGGATCGGGTAAGAGTGAAAGAAAGAAAAAAGAATGTGACCGCCGATGAACTCCAACTGGAGGACCTGCTAGACAGTTTATGGCAAAGAATGGAGGCACACAGGGTCAACTTGTGAGAAACTCTCAGACATTTTGATTTAATGTAATTATGCTCCTATGGAACCAGACAGAGTAAAGACGGATAATGAAAAGAGAGATTTAGAGTGATGCTTTATAATCCCAGTCAAAAATTCCAGCTGGATGGTTCCATCATGGATCAGAAAGCTGGATCCAGCTTAGTTCCGGCTGGATTTTTATATGGTTCCATCTGTAAATTTGGACCTTTTCCAGATAGTTTCCAGATGGAAACTGTAGTGTTAGCGTAGCGTAATATATAATATTTGAAGGGCTGAAAGGCAAAGTGGTCTATCTGCAGAAAAATTCCGAAAAACGGAAAAGTGGTCTGTATACATAGACCACTTTTACAAAGAAAGTTAAAAGCTTGAAAGGAAAAGTGGTCTATCTGCAAGAAACAGTTTCCCAAGCACAGAAGGAGAAAATGAAGATACTAGTAACCTAGCTCTGTAAATTATGAAGTGTTGCATATAATGAATCTATTTTTTTTTCATTTTGCAGAAATCCTACAGGGTACTTTTCTTAAGAGAAATGTGGTGTAACTTGGGGGAATATGGCCATTGGAGTAATATGGACCTTCAAAATGAATCCCCTAACAGACTGAAGAATTAGTTTTGGCGAATTTTAAAAATAGTTCTGTCGAAGAGTATATGCAATTGCCGAAATGTTTAGACCTGTTCCTTAATCCGGTTCTCACAAGAATTCAGGATACATTGATGCTTTGAAAGCCATATGTATGCCATTGCAAACAAATACCCCGTATGATGCTTGAGCAACTTAAGCGTATATTTCTTAATAGCAGCATGGATACAAGAACCATTTCTTCAAAGTTCTTCTATGTTCCTTCCAGAATGCTTGTGGAAAGTGCTAGCCCCTTCATTTGCGGTTTGCAGGCAGTGTTGTCAACTTTGTTATGCAAGCCAATTTGAGGGAATATGGTCATCTCGATTTGGGGTAATATGGACCCATCCTTGACTTCATGGTAACACCGCACTAACCTATTGGCAGTATCAGCTCCGTTTCATGTGGGACCTCAGGCAGAAAAATAGCATCCCATGCACATCCTCTGGATATATTGATAGACGTACTGGACATCTGGACGAAATATGCAGCGCATGAGGAGGTGGTGCATGAGAATATCCACATGCACCGCCTCATGGACATCCGCTTGATTAACTAGCAAAGGCTGAATGAGCAGAGCTGTTCAGTATTCCTGATTTGGACAACCATGACGCCTTTCGAAGAATAGTGCTACTTTTTCCCGCTTTCACTGAGAAAAAAAATCTACCGAACAGCACCAAGTTTCATCATTTATGGCTTTTAGGAATTCCATAATGACAGCAAAAGTTTTCGTGACTCACTTTTCTGTCAAATCTAAAATTTCTGTAATTCGTACATTTTTGTAATTCGAATGTACTAATAATAATATGCATTGTCACGTAATTGAAAAAAAAGCCATTAAAAAGGTTCTTACGGATAGGACAGGCACGGCGGCAAGTAAATTTCCCAGTGGTTATAGAATACATGCAGATATATAGAACTTGAAATATCCTTTATCTTTTTATATAAGTTTTTTTTTTGGCGCCTCCCAGCCAGAATGCATTCTGGATGCAGAAGACCTAGTTTGAGATAAAATATTTAGACTCTAGGATAAAGGGTTTGAGAGGGAAGCGGTAGAAATTAAAGCAGAAGGTTTACGGTTTTCATTTGAGCTTTTTAGTCATTCCAAGTTGCTCAACCCAGAAAAAGATTGTACCCCAAGCCCATCTCTATGCATTCATGCAGCACAGCGGCGAGACCACTTTTAAATGCGAAAATTCCATCATTTATGTATTGTAGTCATGGGGAGGAGAAGGGTTTCATGCGCATAGACCACTTTCCCTTTCCAAATTAGAGCAGACAGTTCATAAAGGAGAAGTGGTCTATATACATGTTTTTCCGAACCCGGAAAAATGACTTTTTTGCAGAATGACCACTTTGCCTTTCAGCCCTTCAATTGCTCAATGAATTTTCCTTGAAAATAAATTTCACATGTCTCTGAGGATTTTCGAGGAAATCGGATGTGTTTGAGCTGACCCTCTGACCGATTTGGCATGGAATGCGTCATAACAAAGAAAATTGCTCACGATATGAGGCTCGGTGTTCCGACGTGGAGCTCCGTTTTCCAGGCCAAAAGCAAAAAGATCTGGTGTGATTCACGTCCCGTGGGCGTGACCTAATTTCCCCGAACACGTGCCTAGATAATATTTGGCCTCGCAAGAGGGAACCTTCTGGTGTGTCTGTCCCAGAACGAAGGACGCGTCTGCTCTTCACCTTCCAATAAAAATTTAGATCGCAAGAGGTAGCCAGACCCAAGCGTTCCAGCAAGTGCGCTCTTGTCCGCACGCCATAGGGTGAACCTTAGACAAGGCATCTTGATAAGTGGCAATTCCGTCCCAGCATGCAGTATCGAATCTCCGTCGCAAAAATGCGTTTCTATGTCCTCTTCCCGCTGCTCGTCCTCGTCGTTCAGGTCAGTTCTTGCAGATCTTTTCTCACTCTCGAACCCGAAATTATTTTCACTTGTGGCGATCTACTACAAAGCAGTAGATAGAACCGTAGTCTCGAGCCAGCAGAACCGAGTTTTCCGTTTTTTTAGCGTCGAGGATGCAGAACTGGAAAGGTATTCCAAGTCATTGGAATGATAATTGCCTCTCGTTGTGTCCACAGGCCGAGGAGATGAAAGGTGAGCGCAGTTTCCAAGCTGCTTCGACATTTCTCCTTCTTATACGACTCTTCGATTCTAACAGATGAAATCTTCTCATCGTGCAAGTCGTATGAGTTCGTTATGATCTTGAAGAAGCCGTTAAAAATAAAAGTGAATATAGATCTGGGAAGTCTCTGTGTACAGTACCGTCTACAAAAGAATATAGGACTCGTATAAAGATAGCATTCGCTCCACATTGCTTTGAAAATGGACAAAAGCATTTTTAAAAAGCAGCAAAAAAACATTCTTTTTTTCCTTTTTCTTTTTTTCTTGTAGCCCCGTCGAGTGCCTCGTCTCAGAGTGAGTTGTGCAAAATGCAAAATCCGAGTGCGTCGCATTAAGAATCCAGCGCCTACAAGTACGTTTTGTCCACAGGGTTCTTCCACCTGTTTACAACCCAGTGCACGACGACGAACACGGCCCTCACTGCAGGGGCAACTGCGACCATCCAATCACCCAACTACCCCAGCAACTATAATAACAACTACTACTGCAAGTGGACCTACACGGTGAGGATCGAGAGAAATTTACGTACAGTAAAATAATCATTGCTTTGAGTCATCCCCCCTCCCCCCCCCCCTATCCCGCCTCTGAAAGGAACTTACTACCCATAGTGAAATTATTAGAAAGCTCTGGGACTTCGTTTTCTGAGAGACTTGAATGATGCTTCTGAATGTCTTCATTGTGACAAATCACCTCTTGAGAGACGGGAGCATTGCGGAGAATCTTTAAGAAGCATATAATTGTCGCAAGACGCTACTGAAGAAAGGGCAATTTGTAAATTGCAGTCACTTAACTCAATTAGCAAAAATATGACAGCGGAAAGAAAAATGTGTAACTTTTTTTTGGCCCACCCTGTATATACGTGGTATTTCGCATGTGATGCTAACAAAAATGGAAGTTTAGATGTGATGTTTGTGGATTTACAGTGCGCAAAGCAGCTGACGCTGTCCTGCCCCAGCATTCAACTCCAGTGGTCTCTCTTCTGCTACGAAGATGCTCTTCTCGTGTGGGGAGGCTCGGCGGGATATAAGACGTGAGTTCTCAATCGAGTATGCCTGTAGCGCAGATATAATATCTTTTGACACACGCGTGGAGCATCCCCTCCAGTGCAGACATGCCACATCCATTTCACCCAGTGCTAGTCCATCCGCTATTCGGAGGAGAATAATAATTCCTGAATAAAAGGTCCTGCTCCTGACGATAACACTCGTACTCAGGCCTATAATTATGCTTCGTTGGCAGTGGTGTGGATGGGAAAAGTTGGGGAAAAGAGTCAATTTATCTCAGTTACTCGTCTCGTCGAACGCCATGTTCTGTAAGGTTTTTCTCAGACTCCCTTCCATCGTGCGAAAGGGTAAACAAAATTATTCTATGTTGAAAAATTCATTACTCATTATGACTTTAATACAACTGCCACCAAACTCAAGCGATTATTTTCAAATGGCAGTGAATCACGATCGCTTTTTAATTTTCCAAACACTTTTCTGCAAGTGGAAAGAAGGTGGTTAAGCTTGACGTGTGAATGATTGAGCTATAATTTAATTTTGATAATATTTCGGCTGAGAGTCGTGGGAGAGAAAGAGAGTTGCACAATTGATCTTTATTAAGCATTGGTTCATAGGGGGAATACATGCCTCTCTTATTCCTCTTTCTTTAAATCATACCCATTCGACACAAAAACGTTGTGGAAACATTGACAAAGGGTTTAAATGTTGAGACATGGTTGAAGTTGACAAATCAGTGAAGAATCAACAGCAATGGAATCCCAGCTATTCGTAATTCAACGTATATTTACTACTCATGGCCTAGCGAAGTCCTTTGGAGGCTATTAAGAAGAAATCCGTTTTCTACTTTTGCCTTTACCGTAGTCTCGGTGGTATTTTAGCATGAAGATGTATCAACACGTTGTATCAACAGAAAATAGGTTCTACCAACCGACGCGAGATGGCGTCCAACTGCCGATATTCAGCGGTTCTCACCCATCAGCCACCGGAATGAGTCCCCTGTATTTTTCATGCAATACCCGATCTTTTCCCACGTAAAATTTAAGAGAAGGCTTCGGAATTCTTGGATCGATCCGTTTAAAGATATAATTCAGCCCAAGGAGACTCCAGGTACTTCTGGCCAAGGGGTCCAAGGAAACATGCTAAACCTTACTGGTTTACTACACACCGAATTCTTAATCTGATAGAGACGGGTGAACGTTTTAATCGGCTTGCAAGTGTTTGGCTGGCTCATCTTCTCTCAATAATATTCATGGGATGAAGCCAGACACGTTACTCTTTTGCTGGATAGAACTTGGTGCGTTATTGAAGAACTTATTTCGGATTCTGAGCCAGTAAAGGGAGTAACAGCCTCACATGGAGTCAATCCCGTTATGGCAGTATTGCTAGAGAACTTTCAAGCCCACAGAACAGAAGATTCCATGGTACGAGATCATTATTATATCGGTGCATCTTCAATATGAAAGAAAAAGGGAAGGCAACGCAAAGACGTTCACAATTCAATGCCAGCACAGCTTGACATCTGCGTATTTTCTTCGTTAAATTGTTTCATTTCGACATTGCTATAACATTGATTCAATGTCACAAGGTTGTGGGTAAGATTGATTCAATCTTTTGCACAACGTCGTGATAACATTGCTACGTTGAAAAAATCAATTTTCGTTCAGCGTTGACAGAATGCTGTTGTATACCGAATGGATAGTTTCAAAATGACTGTCATTACAGATGAAGGAATCGAAAACTGAAAAAGGGCATGAGAAATTCCGGTCTTGTAAGGCCCTGTCACAATGTCGTATTTACCCATATCGGAGATTACCTTTTTTTGCATTTATCTCTGATGCAGTTTGTGTGGGAGCACATCCTTGACATACACGGTGGCTACAGGCAGCACGCTCTCCATCGTCTTCAAGACGGATTGGTGGTGGACAGCCAATGGCTTTCAGTGCACTGTCGCATGCCCCGCGTAACTGGAGTGCATCCTTCTCCAGATATTCTCAACACCTAATAAAGACTTCCTATACTTGTATGAATGTCTTTCTTTTTCATTGAAGGCTTTTGATCGAAGGAAACTGAAGTGGTTCGAGAATTCCAATGTTCTGTTTAAATAAGTCAGAGCATTAGACTGGTGATGTTCTGGCAAAGCGATAGACATGTTTTGAATCTATTCTGTGTTCTGTTTTGTATTGAGGGGTTATCCAATGAAGCGCATACTTCTCTGAGAAATAATAAATTTGCATAATTTTGAAAGCCAAGAAGTCGTTGCTTTTGAAGTATGTGTGGGTAAATGAAGAATTAGGTCATGCCAACAATTGATGCCTTACCACCTGCATCAACAGGGCCCGAACGGCAAGTGGATGACTGGGGATAGGAGGTGGATTTGGAACCAGGTGGGCATCCTTCCAGAAGGTGGATTCTCGCCTAGAGGAACATCCACCTGGTTCCAAATCCCCTTGGGGGATTGGGGGAAGGGAGACATCTTGTCAGGGATGGTAGTGGTATGACACCTGACCGGTAATCAGGATGTCTCGCATTCGCTTCCCGGTTCGATCTCTTTTGTTCCTTCGTCTTCTCATGTTTTCCTACCCTTCCCTCTAAATGTGTAATGGCCACTGACGTTACTGAAGGACTCAGACAGAATCAGTGAGGCCACCTTTTTTCCTCATTCCCAGGGTACTCGGCAAGTTTCTTTGGTTTCGCCTCATCCCATGGCAATAAAAAGTTCTTCAATTTTTCTCCTCCGCAAAGGGAGTTTCCCTCTACAATTTCTTTGGTATACACCTTACAAGTATTTGTTTTAGACTCTTAGTAGAACCCCCATTTACAGTACATTCTAGCATTTGACCACTTTTCTCTGTGGGGTATCATCCAATGTCCTAGAAACTAGTCAATTTCATGACTCATTGCTATGAGTTCGTGTACCAAATTTAATATGAGATCGCTGAATTCCTTCTTGGTGCTGCAATTTCAATTGTTGGCCTACCAATGTATTTTACTAAAATCTGGGGTTCCCTAAATCGTTTTGACGAATGTAAGAAGAAACATTTCCCCACCCACGTGCAGGGTACTTTAGGATCCCCGAAAGCACTGGACCGTGAACCGTTGAAATTCTGTAGGCTCCGAAATATGGGGAATGAAGGGAGCACCCTAAATTTGGAGTTCCTGCTCCAGCATCAACCTCATTCCTTTGAGCTGAGTGCTTGCAAGAGAAAAGATTATCTGCCACAGCGATTCTTATGATGGTCTTTCAAGAACGGAGCTTGATCGGGTATCGAGGAGTTGGCAACACAAATGTCAAGAGAGAATGGATTTATATTTATATTTGTAAACGCCTAGAAGTACATGGAAGATGCTTGAGCGGAGCAGGACTTTTAGATCTTATCATTATCTTTTCCCACGGGATGCTTCACGGGAAAGGACCAATAAATTCCTCTCTTGGTATTGCCTAAAGAATGCGATGTTACTTTTTTGCATTCTCGTCATTAATCTGCATCAAGAACTCGAATCCTCGAGAGGGTAGTCGAGGACATGCATAAGATATTGGCACCTATCCTCGATCTGAAAGATTCGACTGGATTTCAAGCTGATCCTCCACTGATTGGGATCAAAGTCCGACAGGTTTCGATAGGTAGTGATTGGTGCCACTTTAGAGTCTTTCTTCTCTCTTCCCAGGCCGAAATGGCCCAAGATATCGTCCTCTACTTCATGGGTGAAAGGAATCCCAAGGAAGTCGTAAAGTTTCCTCATCGTTTCCAGCGGGTCACGAACCAAATCCTCGTAATGAACTCGACTCCTCCTGTCGGAAACGGACGAGTACGGTCCTATTGACAGCACTTGTGTTTGTTTTTTTTTCTTTTTTTTTACGAAAAGAGAGTTGGACCTGTGCTCGGGAAGGGAATCGATGGCCATCAAGTCGATCCACATTCGGTTGCAGAGTTCCCATGGGTCGTCCGAAAATCCTATCAAGTGACTTGCGGAATTAATTATTCCGCGAGGATCTCTCACGAGATGGATAACCTGGTGGACGGAGCAAACACGATGGACAGTCAGTACCCTCAAAGTATTGGAACTTCCTGCAACGAAGCAATATTTTCAGGGATACGTGTGAGTCTACTGCGAATCGCAATCACATGTTATGCAAAATGAAATGTAAATCCGCTGTAAAATCAGGGTTGTCAAGTTGTGATGCTATTCCACAATACCAAAACTAAAATCCACTAAAATACCACTAAATAAGTAGACTATTTCTCTTAATGATACAAAATGAACAATTCTAAAAGATGGTATGAATGCTTCAATTTACAAATAATTCTAAAGAAATTGCATTTGACATTAATAGATCATTTCCGCTTTTTTAATAACTTGAATTAAAATATAGATTTAAAATTTTTGTAAGGTTTCCAACTTAATCCTATTGCTCAGAACAGTTTTAGTGAGAGTAACAAATGCACCAAGCTAAGAGCAGTATCAACTCTCCGATTTTTCTCCCAAAGGTGGGGGAGGGGCAGTGGCGGATATAGAAATTTTTCATAGGGGGGGCGGTTCCAAAGTTCCTACCTACCCCCCCCCCCGCCTACCACCATTCCTTGACCTTTCGCCTTCATTTTTCGTCTGGGGTAAGAACTTGAGTATCTATTTCACTGGCTCCAATAAAATTTAATGCAGATGCTATTCTGAATAAATAAATCAAATCCTAACCTGGCCATAAGGGGGGCGGTCGCCCCCCCCCCCCCCCCCTGTATCCGCCACTGGGGAGGGGTTCTACTCCCCNGACCCAGAATGGAGGCTTGACGACGCGGGTATTCGGCGGCGTACCGATCCACTTCGACGTCTCTCGGTACGCCATTGATTGTAGTGTCTGTCGACGTCTGTACGCATAGAAATCTCATTCCCCTTGTTCGTCGACCGGCGTGCCAGGCACCCGGTTGATGCTTCACACCCACGCCTGGTGGAGATTCGAAGCCACGCCTCTTATTCCTCCAGACGTGGTATCCTCGGCCGAATCATCAGTTGATCACTTTTTGTTTTTACCTTACCTCTTTGCTTCATGCTATTCGCTTAGTCGTTCACAGTTCGCAGTATTTCAAGCTCATGTAAAAACGCAGCGCAGTTTTCCTTGGTAGCTATCGCGGAGTAAAACTCGACAGCCTCACGATAAAGATCGAATGAAAACGTGTTTGTCTTTTCGTGCTTAAAGGTCTAAATCGTGGATGAGAGTGATGACATCTCCATGCCTAATCCAATTAGATGAAGAGATTTGGATAGATTAATTAAACGCTGTCGTGTTTGATAGATTAGGAAGCGCGTTTCCAGGAGAACCATTACTAATAGTGCATTCAAAAGCGTTCTGAATATACTCTTTTTGTGTAAACTAAAAAACACCAACGACGAGAGTGCCCTTAAAAGTGCTTCCCTTCCCTGATCACCCAGAATATATCCTTGCTTCTTCATATTGGCCTTCGCGGAACCGAGTTGGGATAAATATAAGAGATAAATACATTACTTGAAGAATGAAGTCGCAAAAATTGTTACCGCGATGTCTTGAGTCTGCTGAAGCCAGCGCATGATCTCGGAAGTGATGGGAAGACGAATGACCTTCTGGATGATGCGATCCACTCCGGGTCGACACGGTTCCAGGAATCCTCGATGGTCTCTCCAACCTCGAAAAATATCCCCTCTCTCCGCCTCTCGATTCGCTGCGGTGAGGTCGCAACGGAAGAGACCGTCCAATATATCCACTGCTCTCTTGCTGTACTCGTACGTCCCGTTGGATTCCCCGTCCTTGATCAGGTACAACGGCTCGTAGAAGTACCTGAAAGAGGAGTCGTCTGTACGTCCCTCTGGGTCGCGATGAACGGGATTCGAACGGGAGAAGGAACCTGGATGGAGGCATTGCAGAGAGAAGGTCTCCCAAGAGAGAAGATCCAGATCGACCGTAGGCAACCAGGAGGATCTTAGTTGCACCTAATTCATTCTTCTTTCTTCCACCATCACAGCCACTCCATCCTGATAGTTATTATTATGTATTTCTTCACCACGACTTCATTTTGAGCATTCAAGGTATCGATTTCGCGCGAAAGTATTTAAAAAGTGCATGAAATCCAGATCGCACAAAACGATCGAGAGGAAAATACTTGATCGGATTTCAAGAAATGAGGCACTAATGAACTTGCTTACATGCCTTTTGGGGGTATCAAATGCTAGACTATCGCGTGATACGCTGAAAAGAATGGATTATGTGGTGGGTGTGGCATACAGTGAAGCCTGTGGATTCGGCCACCTTGATATTATGGCCACCTCCTATTTGCGGTCAGAAGTACTCTGTTAAAGTTAAAATGTTAAAATAACCTGTTTTATCCAGCCACCTGTCTAACGCGGCCAGCGGCCAAGGATTTGTAGACCCTCTGTGCTGGCCACTCTTTTATCCGGCCAGAACACGGGAAGGAAAGAAGATCGCAGGTTCATTACCTTCCCCTTGCCTTGCCATTACCTTCCCTGCCTTGCTGCTTCCCTCTTTTTCTCCCTTTCGCGTCTTTCCCCTCCCCCTCCCCAATCCCCGAATTGACCCGTCGCTTGGTTGTCAAATTCACATCTCCGGAGTTTCGATAGCGAGAGAACTACATCAAGAATAATCATCAAGAGTGTTGTGACCTGCCGCTAGTTCTTCCCTGTATCTTGCTCCCTTTCTTAAAGGCCATCGAGTGCTACGGAGAAGCTGAGGTGCTTTTTGATAGAGAAGGGGATGCACGAGTCAGTCGAAGCAATCATGAAGCTCGAAGCGTCTCTCCAGGAGCGAGTCTGCGAACGCAAAATGCGTGCGCGTCAAAGGAACATTTAAGACTTCCTCACACTGAAAATGGTCTCCAAATTTTTCTCGATGTACATAGTTTAAACAAAACCTCACAAAGTCAGAAGTACAGTACCTTTGTAGTATACAGTGTGTTTAATTTTCCTGAAAAGCTGATTGGTAAGTACCTTACAGTTTGCCTAGAGCAGGGGTGTCAAACATACGGCCCGCGGAGGTGGTTCATCCGGCCCGCCGCCTGTTCTTGAAATTTCCGCTTGGATTGACTGATAGCACAAATTTCGGTGAAAAAGTATTGGTGCGGCCCGCAGGCATCTGCAGGATAAGGAATGCGGCCCGCCGACCGATTTGAGTTTGACACCCCTGGCCTAGAGGAAAAAGCGGGGGGGGGGGGGGGG